TTGATCAGTTTCTTATTGGCATTTGTGCATCGTGTACGCATTGTCTCGATGTTGCCTAAAATCACATACATTATAAGCAAAGATAGATGCTGGCTAGCAGTGGAATCCAGGACGCGTATTTCATCTTATTTGGGAATAAGTGGATAATGCGATGGAGTTTGAAGTGAATGGTATTGGGTTTGAATCTCTGAGTAAACATCAACTCTGAGATTCAGATACATCCAGCTGACAAGTCACAAATATAACGAATCATGCGTCTTGGATTCCACTGTTAATCACCATTCATCTCTGCTTATATCACCATATTGTTAAAAAAATTATTTATTCCATAGATTATCAACAGATTAAAAAAATGCATTAAATTCAAAAACAGTTGCGTCCGTTTTCATTCATACAAATAAATACAATTAGAAGAAGGTTTTGCGGAGATTCACATCATGGACGTGCACTGTTGAGGAGTTCTATACTAGCACGAAATAGCCGTCCAGTGCTTCTAAGTTTTTCATGATAGTCTAGCTTTAATTAACTCATGGATTCAACTAATCAACATATGCTCACTAGTGACTGGCTTCAAGAGGTATATCCTGGAGTTCTAGTGAGAAGCAGTGTCATTTATGAGACAGTAACTCACTGATGACAATGGTAGATGCGTCGCTAAATTCCGTGGATTAGTTGAAGTTATACATTAACACCGTTGGATGCCGGCCGGCTTAGTGGTCTAGTTGGTTAAGCGCCTGGCGCGAGACTGATAGGTCCTGGGTTCGAATCCCTCGATGCATGGTCGTGGATGCGCATTGCTGAGAGGTCCCATAATAAGACGAAACGGTCGTCCAGTGCTTCCAGGTTTTCCATGGTGGTCTAGTTTCAATTGACTCATGATCTCAACTGTTGTAATATGAAATAATTTAACTCACAATCCTGTCATGATCGCCACAACCTATTGTTGTTAAACAAAATGCATCATAAATGAATATGACCTAAATCTTTTACATCGTACTGTTTGTTATTCTTTTTTTTGTCTTCGTTTTCTAAGTTTTTTTTCAATTTTCGTACACAAAAATAAACTCATCATCATAAACTCATTAAATACGTAGAAAAAAAACATTTAAATGAGAAGTCAATAAATAAACAAAACATAAATGAAATGAGAAGGAGAATAAAATAAGAAAGAAAATTTGTTTTGTTTATTCAAATTAATCAGTTTGTTTTTTAAAGAGAAAAAAATTGTTATTTGTCATTTTATCGATGTTATTTGTTTTTATTACCCATAATTATATTTCTTTATGATGTAATCATTGATTAAGTATTGATAGGAACATGTTAATATTGCTTTACTTACATACATGTGAAACACTTGATTACATCTACTACAAATCATGTATTATATATATATATATATATATATATATATATATATATATATATATCAGTATATCTACAACGTAGGACCAAGTACATATATGCATCGGTTCAAGTTTCCATACTTGATGCCTCCAAATACCCTTCCTCTCGAAACGCTCTCACACGGTCACGTATGTACAGCCCTTGCCAGGGAAGTCCTACTTATCGCCTTCTTGTGGCGGGGGTGTTGATCATGAAAATAAGAGGACGAAAAGCGAATGTCCGGCGCTTTAACGGTATTCCAAACCAATGGTGCACATGGGATGGTTCCAGGATCCTGAAGGAACAAATGGCGTATGAACCAATCGTCAGTCACCGGCTGCCACGAGACTGCATCTCCTTACGATGCTCCACTGCTTTGTGGATCAGACCTTCAGGTCGAGGGCTCCGGGTGTGGCCTCCCAAGAAAACCACGTACTTCGGTCTGGGAACCCGGGTAGTATCACAGCCTTCACACAGATCAAGTGAGGTTTGTGTAGCGCATATTTATCTGGTGCCTCCTTGTACCAATATCTATGTGTTTAAATAAATAAATGGTGCCTCCTTCATACATGATTAGCACAACAAGATGAACATGGAAGCCATTGTGATCGATTGTGAGACATGTCACTCAAAGTCTCCAACCATTGGTTACAACAATCACGCGGACCCCAACCAAGTATTCCGCATTTACCAACATGTTCAGACCAGAAGTTAGTGACTTTAAGGACTGATGTCACGTCTTAGTTTGGCCGCCCCCTAGTTATTTTGATGGAGTTTTGTTCACTTAGCTGGATGGTTTAGTCGTGGAGCTTCCATCGTTCTTCTGAACCGTTATCATCAGAACAATAAATAAAAGTTTTTTATGGTAATGTCTTTCAGAAGAGCAATGAAAGCTCCACGATCAAACCATGCAACGCGCAGAACAAAACTCCATTAAGATCATCCACCTGAGCTACAAATCTTCACCGCTCCTAACTAATTATATATATATAACACTTTAAAATTTACTCTTGAAAATCCGTTAATCATTGAGCATGCTTAATTAAATGACAATGTCTTCCTGTTATTGAATGGCACTGGAGTAGCATTAGTTTATGATTGTTCTGTGTAAGATAGATAGAGTGAAATTCAAGCTGCGGATTATCGGAATTTTCATCTATGGTTGGAAAGTATCGTAGTTGTAAGGTTATAGGTCGTAAGGTTGGCCACAACAGGATTGTATGTTTATTGATGTGACGTTTGTAACCAAAGTGGAACAGATGTACAGCTTCCCATGGGTTCAAATAGTTCTATTGGGTTTACCATTAACTTATAACCACAGATTATCAAATGTTTATTCCCGTTCCGTTTATTCTTAATATATCAATAATAATTCATGAAATCAACTGTTAAAAATTATTACACTATACAAGAACGCGTATTCTGATAATGATTATTATGTGCTCACTAGTGACTGGCTTCAAGAAATATTTCCTGAAGTTCTAGTGAGAGACCGTGGCCGGTCGAGTTTTACCGTATCTGTTGCAGAGGCAGTTACTCACTGAAGACAATGGTGCACAGTTGTGCAATATCGTGAATTGGTTGAAATTAAACATTAACACTTCTGGATGCCGGCTCAGTGGTCTAGAGGTTAACTGTTCGCCCGCGAGATCATGGATGCTCAGTTCTGAGGAGTCTCATACTTTGACGAAATTGTTGTTCAATGCATCTAGGTTTCCCATAGTGCGCTAGATTTAATAGACTCATGAATCCAAATATCAATAAACCATTATTATTTCTTTAAAGCCGTTTATTTCTCGATTTCCTATATTTCAAATATCATTTAATTTTGATGCTTCACCCAAATAAAACTGAAATCTATTTTTAACTGGATTAGGCATTCAGAAAACACCATTCTAGCTGGTGTTACAACTTAATTTCATATTCAATAAAATCTCCTCATTTATCAGTTAACTATCTTATTACCAGCCATAAACTGAGTCTGCTCTCGATACTTATATGATTTAGCTAACATCTAAAAACTGAATCGAATGAACGAGTAAAAATGTTTCACGACCCCATAAATAATTTGGATAGTTTGTAGATTGTTTTTGACAAGTTGTGAAAATATCAGCCTCAAGAGATATTGTACCTTTGATACTTTTGAATTGCAGTAAACTGAATGTAATTGTTTAATTAGTTTGACATCCCGATAATTCTATTACCTTATCTATGTTCCTTCTGTACAATTAATAGATCTTTTCACAGATTGAAATCATGAGTCAGTTGAAGCTAGACCACCATTATAAAACCTGGAAGCACTGGACGGCCGTTTCGTCCTAATATGGGACTTCTCAGCAGTTTATTATTTATTTATTTCAACACATAGATAATGGTACAAAGAGGCACCAAATACATATGCGCCACACATAAAACTCTAAATGATAAATAATTTAGAATGATAATTAGTTTTGCTCACTGCCTATTAACATTGGTTGTAGACATGACATTTCGGTTCTACTCCGATACGACAATAAAAGCTCCTTAATTAAACCATTTAACTCAGAAGATCGAACAACATCAAAATTATTCAATTCAGCTTCAAATTTTATCTACCATTTCAAGCCATTTTTATAAATTTTAAAGTTTCAATTTTGTTTTCTTTAGAAATACATATGAGCAAGTGGACAAAAATGGTTGTAGTGTCGTTTACTATGTTAAGCCCTGGTAACATATTGAAGCTTCTGGACAGGCCAATTTATTCATTCTTTTTTAGTCATGTTTTGACCTTTTTAATTATCCACTTATCAACCCTGACTGTTTTATATGGGCGTATATGTGTGTACATCTTATCCTACTAATCACATGTCTGTAGCCTACTTTTGTGTGACAGTAAATATTGATTCACAATTGATTAAATAGAGTTGGCTCACATTCCATCATCACTGCACGCCATTTCGATTCGCTCTTTCCTCTTCGCTTTGCTTCTTTGCTCATTTGTCTGGATCAACGTTTGTACAAAATTTACCTACCTGAAATTATTTCTCGCAGTTGACTTATTTAGATCCGTTATTCACTAATGCGATTTAAGTCGATAATAATAGACGAGAATAGTCAGAACGAATAACGATCATACTGTGGTGTGGGTTACTTATATCCATATAAGTAGTATATAACGGTGGTCAGGCATAGAATGTATCTCAGTAGAAGAAAGTACGGGAACCAAACGTAATTGGTATGAAAATCATGAACAATGAAATCTGAGACAATAGACTGATACTTGCAAGAGGAAGAGTGAAGTTTGAGACTATGGATTAATATTTTGCAAATCAACTATTTACTATATGGTTCTTAGATCTTAGTTGGATACTCTGTAATTATGTGTCCAATTACATTCAATTGTCTTGTTCACTACAATACAATCGACCTGGAGTCAGATTTCGGACCACTAAAAAGCTAAAATTTATGTAGTCAATTTAATATGTTATAAATAGATAAAGACAAATATCGTCTAAATGACTTGTGTTCAGAATGATAGTAAATTTTATCTATTTTTAACGTACATTGTGTCAATCTACACAATAAATATCGATATATATATGCATATATAATTTGTCTATTGTTTCTATTCATTGTAGACAACGTTCTTATCAATGTACAATTAAATTTACGTGTACCATTATTCTTTTCTGCATGGATAGAACGTTCTCATACTCCTGGTTTAATGGACTCACTTATACCAATGGTAGGTATTTTTTTATCTGGTTTTCTTCATAAGAAGTAACATTTATTTGGGAATAAACTTTATATTTTCCAAGTGAATATTTACAAATATCTAGCGTAGAACTCATATTGTTTCCTGATTTCATTAGGAATCGTATTTACCAACTACTTTGATGTGTTACGTAATAAATTGAGTTTATGTATAAGAAACAACTGAATCCTATTTCAAGACTATTCGTGAACAATAAACAATCGTTGCCTCCTTTCTACTGCTTCCTTTTTGCCACATTCTGAACATTGATTTGAGATAAAAAAAGAAATCATTTGAACTAATGAAATTGAACTTAATTCCGAAATGAAGAATGAAGTGGTCAACGTTTGCAGACTTCATTTTATGTTTTAAAGCCAATGACGAGTATCTTCTTTCTTTTCTTTTACTTCTATCTCTCTATTTCTCACGTTATCTACAGAAAACTGATGAATACACCCAAAATAATACAATTGAATTAGATTTAATCCATATAGTACGATTATTGCTTATTGTTTTCGTTAAAGATCAAATCTTTTACATTCTATCCATTAAAATATCTGATAAGTATTACTGACAAGAAAGACTGAATATATTATATTCTGGAAAATTTCGTTCTTTCATATTAAGTATAATAATATATGGGTAGGGATGCATAACGGTTGATGATTATTAATAGGAAGCTTTGAGTAGAAAGTTTCTTGGTATATGAAATTGTATTTTATAAATCATATTAGTTACCATAAATAATTTATTTATCATATGATAAGATGAAAGATTCTTGTGCATATAACCAAAGTAATAAGATTAACAGTATGAAGTCATGGAGCTTATTAAGCATTTGATTAATATCATAATCTATAGGTTTTAGAGGTTAAGCATTCATGCACGAGACCGATAGTTCTTGGGTTTGAATCTCACGAGTGGGATCGTGGATGCACACTGCTAATAAGTCCCATACTATTACGAAACGACCGTCTGGTAGTTCCAGCTTTTCAGTGATGATCTAACATCAATCGATTAATGATCTCAATCAAAAACCTAATAACGTAAACTAAAAACTCTCAATTTACCCTAAAATGTTCTCTCTGCTCCTAATATAAAAATCAATTTGGTTTCTGAAAGCTTAACACATAATGAAAAGTTTCTTATTATTTTAAAGAGAACATGAACAAAGATTGGTGCACAATAATATTAATTCATTTTATTTAGTTAGGTCCTCATCAGCTGCTTACAACCTAAATTATTTAAAATTCAACGTTATTACAGATATTGACATACTTATACAATAAGAGGGTGATTAAGGATGATTAAATGTATCATGGTGTAGCAAAGATTATCCTTGACACATGACACGAAGTCGATACACTGAAGTCCTTCAAGGTGATTAATAAACAATCAACCTCCAACCTTATGAAATTTGCTGAAGCATTAGTAATCAAAAGTCTAAAACCAGACCTATGTACACAAAAAGAAACAGCAATAAATCTTTCTCTACCCTGGTAACAATACCCCCCCCCTTTTTAATCATTCATTCATTATTATTTATTTATTGCGTCATTATTCCACCTCTTTCTGAAGTTTAAATTACTTCATACATAACTGACTGATTTCAATTCATATTTTCTTTATTATCATTATTCTATTTTCATGAGTTCTAATCACTATTTCAATGTTCCGGAACTTTCACTCTCAAACTTTATTTATTCAAACCAAAATTTTATGATCTCATTAACTCTATCCGAATCTTTGCTACACCATGATACATTTATTTATCCTTAATCAACTTCTTATTGTATAAATATGTCAATATCTGTAATAATATTGAATTTTAAATATTTTAGGTTGTAAGCAGCTGATGAGCACCTAACGAAATAAACTGAATTCATATTATTCTGCATCAATCTTTGTTCTTGCTCTCTTTAAGATAATAAAAGGAACTATGTATATGAAATTTCTTATTTTTCTTTAAGATGTGATTTAAAAAGCCTATCACCTAACAACAACAAATAATAGAATAGATTTGAATTTTCATTAGATCATAAATTATTTGATATAAAACTATGTAAATAATATTATTCCATGAAATGAACTTTACCTACAATTAAGAATAGATCTATGAACTATTCTATATTGTTGATTGTATGGAAACATTCACCTGGTTTGATCCATATCTCTACAATAATATCTTTGTATACTGTTTACTTAATTACGGAAAATCACGATTAAATAATCTTGTTTTCCTTTTCTTCTAAATTTTCATCGATTTCGTTTCATTATCCCGTTCATTTTATCAGTAATAAATCATATCAATGTAGATTAGAATGATTGTTTACATCCTCAATGTGAAATAAAATAAAGTCAACATTGATTCACGTGTTATTTACTTAAACATTTTATTTCATATTTTTATTTATTACTTATTATTATTAGTTGGATAATTGTGAACAACCAGAGTTACCAACGTATGAAGAGTTGGAAAATTATATTAAAGATAAATCGAAATTTTTTGTAACTCCCTCATCGTCAAGATTATTCAATACATCACCTCTGGATAGCTTAGCATCATCATCATCATCATCGTCGTCGTCGTCGTCAACACCGTTTCTATGGAATCGTGTTCATGAATTACATAACTACATTCATCATCTTGGTAAATTAGCTTGGAAAGCAAGATATTCAAATATTGCAGACCAATATCTTTCAGATGGATCATCTAAATATCTAAACTTTTCTGGAGTTCTACCTGTTTTATATAAACTTCAAAAGGTATGTAGTTGAAGGACTTCTTGAAATGTTTTATTTTATGTTTTAAAGAAAAATGTAATATTATATTCAACAATTTGACTGGGATTCAATTAGTTAATTAGTTTTCTTTTCTCGTTTATATAAGTGTAAGTTAGCTGAAGCGCTAAATTTAAATGGAACTACATGCTTTGGGAAAAATCGGTTGATAAAATTAACGTTCTTTGTCATTCATAAGAAAATAAATAGTGAAATGTTTCTTTCATCAGTATGGGGTTGTGGAAATTGTTAAGACTTTGATTGAGTTCATGAATCGACTGGGGACAGACCACCACTGAAAACCTGGTAGCAATGAATGACCGTCTCGTGCTAGTATCAGATTCCTCAACAGTGCGCATACATGATCCCGCCTGCGGGATTCGAACCCAGGACCTTCAATCTTGTATGCGAACGCCTAACCTATAGACCATTTAGCCTGGATCCAACGTTGTTAATGTCTAACTTCCTTCGATCTATGAATGTTTCTTTGACAAAATGTAAATGGCTACCACCAAAAGTGTATCGTTCTGATTTTCATACATGTATATTTATACATATTCAACAAAGAGAATGAACTATCTTTGCAGTAATCTACAAGTAATAGCACGTATATATTATGTTTGTATATCTATTTTAAATTTGATATATTCTATACTAATTACCCATTTAGAATAGAGTAGTCTTTTAAATTGTTGTGTTAAGTATTATCATTTTGATTGAATTCATTGTATATGTATATATGCTTTGATTTATTAAGCTTAGAATTACCATAAATTCATCTTTAAATGAATTTACACTGATTAATGACATTCATTTGTTACGTAGTCAAGATTAAAGAAAGAAACAGTTGGGCATCGAAATCCTCTAATCTAATACAATACGATCAGAGATGGTTGGAAATAATTTATGATCAATAATTTGTTGCAAACGTATATTTAATCAGAAGGGGTTTGTGGTGATTTTAGAAATTTTCACAGATTTAAATCATGAGTCAGTTGAAGCTAGACCACCATTGAAAACCTGGAAGCACTGGGCGGCCGTTTCGTCCTAGTATGGGACTCCTCAGCAGTGCGCATCCACGATCCCGCACCACGCGGGGCTCGAACCCATGACCTACTGGATTCGCGGGCGAGCACTTAACCATTAGACCACTGAGCCGGCATCCAACGGTGTTAATGTCTAACTTCAACCAATCCACGAAGTCGCGCCACCGTACACCATTGTCTTCAGTGAGCTGATATCTCACAACAGACCTGGTTGAACTCCACTGGTAACGGCTTCCCACTAGAACTCCCATACTAGGACGAAACGGCCGTCCAGTGCTTCCAGGTTTTCAATGGTGGTCTAGCTTCAACTGACTCATGATTTAAATCTGTGTATATTTAATCATTAGGGAAGTCATATCAAATCAGTAGTCTGTCTTATTATATATTAAGTGAAGTTTTTCTCTAAATTATAGTCTATAACTAGTGGATGGACTTGAAATGAATGAATTTGAGAACAATTTGCGTCAAGGCTTGTTTAAATACTTCATGATTATATATATATATATATATATATATATATATATATATATATATATATATATATATATATATATATATATATATATATTCTGAAAATAATAATTACAGAATTCACGCCAGTTTACACGCATGATCAATTTGATATAAATAGTAACATTAAATGTACAGAACAAACATGTGATAGAAGAAAGTTTTAAGTAAACTAGTTCAGTAGTTGCTTAGGTTGTATATGTATTACAGCAATCCACTGCATCAGCCGAGAACTTTTAATATTTCTTAAATGGTCAGCCTGTTGATTTATGCACTGAGTAATTCAGGTCATTTCGTGTGCCAGATCGAATTACTGATAATTATCTACAGCTAGAGAAATTAAAACGAAAACAGAGAGCACGGAACAACATAGCAATAATTACCAAAATATGTCAACCAGGTCTACCATAATGCATGGGCGATGTGACAAAGTGATATACTGCTAATGTTAGATATTAATAAAATTAGTAACGGTTTCGAGGGATAGTGTCAACGTGAAGTGACAGCAGGGAGGTGGTTTTAATTAAGGAATTCACTAATAAGAATGATTAAACATTTAAACATTTAAAGATACACTTACAGGTGCTAAGACATTTAATGCATTTTCAAAGGAACAGTATTCTGCCTCAGAATATCAGAAGAAAATAAATTTTCTGAACGTGATATTCACATCAAATGATGTGTTATTTACCAAGTGGTTATCCTGTATAATCCATACGCTGTGAGGTTGTTTGTAATTTCATAAGTAACTTTGAAAAGAAAACCATTATGCAATCGTACAATACTAGAATTATTGCTTATGATATTTAAATATATCTGTTCTCATGAAGTATATTCTATGTGTAAGTTTATTGCTTGGGTATAGAAAAACGACTTTCGTTGAACGGTTTTTTTGTATTTTGACAATCATACAATGAGGGTTAAAGTCAACAATCCATATCCATGATCAGATATCATTCAGCCTTATTCGTTATATCAGTTTATGATGATCGATTGCAATCTATAAAACCACAAAATTTCAATTCATTATTACGATCCCAGTAATTAAGAATTACTACCTAGTTATGGTGTTACATTTTCTATCACCCATTGGTTTTTCATACATTTTATGACGGTACTCTGTTGTGTACATATAAACCAAGTATTTATAAAAAGAACAACTTGAAACTAGTGATTTTTCTTGTTGCTAACTAAAATAAACATTTTGCTCTTTATGAAACTAAAGATGAAAAATAATTTCAGCTTCAAATATTTACTAAAACTGTGGTATATGCTAGTTATATCCATTGATATAAGTAGTATGCAACACCAATTGAAAGTGAAAAACCTGACAACAGAAGGCTATGAAAGTTGACTTAAAGAAAAAACAGGAACGGTATTAGAAAGGAATTATGAATCGAAAAAAAATTATACTGAAAGTAAAACGTAGATGATACTTACTCACTTACTTACGCCTGTTACTCCCAATGGAGCATAGGCCGCCGACCAGCATTCTCCAGCCCACTCTGTCATGGGCCTTCTTTTCTAGTTCCATCCAATTCTTGTTCATTTTTCTCATGTCTCTTTTCATTTCCCGGCGTAATGTGTTCTTTGGTCTTCCTCTTTTCCTTTGGCCTTGAGGACTCCATGTGAGTGTTTGTCTTGTGACGCAGTTGGGTGATTTCCTCAATGTGTTTTCTATCCACTTCCAACACTTCTTCCTGATTTCTTACTCCGCTGGGATCTGGTTTGTTCTCTCCCACAGTACGTCGTTGCTAATAGTGTCCGACCAACGGATCTGAAGTATTTTGCGTAGACAACTGTTAATAGACACCTGTATTTTCTGAATGATGGCTTTCGGAGTTCTCTGCCCCATACAGTAGAACTGTCTTGACATTTCTATTGAAAATCCTGACCTTGCTGTTGGTTGACAGTTGCTTTGAGTTCCAGATGTTTCTCAGTTGTAAATATGCTGCTCTTGCTTTGCCGATCCGCGCCTTTACATCTGTAAAACGTAGATGATGGAAATTTGTAAATGAAATATATATCTCCATTTATATTCTCGTTCATTACAAAACAACTAACCGAATCATTTCTTTCGTAAAACTAAGATCAGTTAAGCATTCTGTTGACTATTTTCAGTTCAACTGACTTCGACTAACAAACAGATTAGATTAATTGCACTGCTGTGGAGTCCTACAATAGGACGAAACGGCCGTCCAGTGCTTCCATGTATTCAATAGTGGTCTAACATCAGACGGTACATGATCTCAACCAAAAAAAATATTTATAAATTATATTTATTTCTTACTAAAATATTATCAGGTTAAAATAAACCGCCAAATCAACTTTGCCTTATTTTCCATTACTGACGTTCATTTAAAACCTTCTCATATGTACATATCATTAAAATTAATTTCGTTATGGTTCACTTCTTTCTCTTTAAATTTAATTCAAATTTCTTCTTTTTCTAAAAAAAACACAATTAAAGAACAAACAAATGATGTCAAATTAGAAATATAAAAAAAATTAAAACTATTCAATGTTCAATGTATCAATCAAATTTCTTTTCAGATATAAAACTAAATCAAATATGAAAATTGTTTATTTTTTTCTTTCGATGAAACACAAACAAGAAACATGATTGATAAGTAACCAAGATACCAATTGATTAAGGTTGTTATGTAATTTAAATTAATTAAAGAAAACTTACAAGCATTAATTAAAATCCAGTAAAAAAAATCAATGTTTGTTACAATTATATTTTTTTTAATTTACTTACTTACTTACGTACGATTGTTACTCCCGAATGGAGCATAAACCGTCGATCAGCATTCTCCAACACACTTTGTTCTGAACCTTCCTTTATAGTTCCATTCAATTCTTGTTCATTTTTCTCATGTTTATCTCCATTTCCCGGCGTAATGTATTCTTTGGTCTTCCTCTTCTCCTTTGGCCTTGCGGATTCCTTGTGAAGCAGTTGGGTGATTTCTTCAATGTGTGTTCTATCCGCTTCCAACACTTCTTACTGATTTCTTCACCCGTTGGGATCTGGGTTATTCTCTCCCACAGTAGATTGTCAGTGTCTGATAGTGTATGGTTATCGGATCCGAAGTATTTTGCGTAGACAACTGCTAATAAACACCTGTATATTGTGGACGATGGCTTTCGTAGTTATCTAGGTTTCCGTTCCATACAACGAAACTGTCTCGACATCCATTCGTATTGAAAATTCTGACTATGATGAAGGTTGAGAGCTGTTTTGAGTTGCAGATGTTCTGTAGTTGTAGATATGCTGCTCTTACTTTTCCGATCCGCGCTTTCACATCTGCATCAGATCCACCGTATTCATCAATGATACTTCCGAGATATGTCAAGGTTTTACATCTTCCAAATCTTTTCCGTCAATTGTGCTCTGATTGGTGCATGATGTGTTGTATCGGTGAATGT